GCTTCACATCCATACGAAACGACTTCCGGCTTGGAACAAGGTCTGCAACACAGGCGCTCGGTGGGCAAAAGTTCAGAGTCCAATGCCCAAGCGGTACGGCCGTGCAACGCTCTGGCTCACCGAGAAAGTCCGGTGACAACCAAGCTGGTCACTGGACTGAGTAGGCAAGCAAGCTTTAGGTCAAGTGAGAAGAGCGCCACAATGGCACCAAACAGCCCACAAACAAGTGTGGCAAACCACAGATCTAGCTCCAGGAGCAACACTGAAGCCAACTGCTGAGACCTGCCCTCGTTTTAGCTTATGTCAAGAGAGTCCTATGGCTGCACATTTGCCACAGGACTGAACAGGTAAGCAATGCCAACAACGGGACATGGGTGGCTTCATGCCTGACTTCGCTGCCTGCAAAACCCCTGTGCAAGAATGCACTTGGCCATGCCCACATCAAAGCAAGGTCGCAAGCTGCAAAGCAGCAGCACGTGAAAAACGGGCAACCAGCGAACATTCACAGCCTCATGGTGCTCCTCTTGCACAACACCAGCAGTCGAGTCTTCTTCTTCACGAACACTGACGTCGCTGATTCTGTAGACTCCAGCTCCTTGTTCGCGTCTTGCGCAAGCTCTCGATGGGCTCGTGCTTGCAGCTCAGCCAAGGCGGTGCGGCCGTGCTTCTTTCTGGCTCGCCGAGAAAGTCATGCGACCATGGCAGCACTGCAGGACTGAGTAGGCGAGCACATCCTTGCGAAACGACTTCCAGCTTCACATCCATACGAAACGACTTCCGGCTTGGAACAAGGTCTGCAACACAGGCGCTCGGTGGGCAAAAGTTCAGAGTCCAATGCCCAAGCGGTACGGCCGTGCAACGCTCTGGCTCACCGAGAAAGTCCGGTGACAACCAAGCTGGTCACTGGACTGAGTAGGCAAGCAAGCTTTAGGTCAAGTGAGAAGAGCGCCACAATGGCACCAAACAGCCCACAAACAAGTGTGGCAAACCACAGATCTAGCTCCAGGAGCAACACTGAAGCCAACTGCTGAGACCAGCCCTCGTTTTAGCTTATGTCAAGAGAGTCCTATGGCTGCACATTTGCCACAGCACTGAACAGGTAAGCACATGCCAACAACGGGACATGGGTGGCCACGGCTTCATGTCTGACTTCGCTGCCTGCAAAAACCCTGTGCAAGAATGCATGTGGCTATGCCCACATCAAAGCAAGGTCGCAATCTCCAAAGCAGCAGCAGGTGAAACACGGGCAACCAGCGAAGTTTCACAGCCTCATGGTGCTCCTCTTCCACAACACCAGCAGACAAGTTCTTCTTCACAAACACTGACGTCGGTGATTCTGTACACTCCAGCTCCTTGTTCGCATCTTGCGCAAGCTCTCGATGGGCTCGTGCTTGCAGCTCCAGCCCAGGCGGTACGGCCGCGCTTCTTTCTGGCTCGCCGAGAAAGTCATGCGACGATGGCAGCGCTGCAGGACTGAGTAGGTGAGCACATCCTTGCGAAACGACTTCCGGCTTCACATCCATACGAAATGATTTCCGGCTTGGAACAAGGTCTGCAACACAGGCGCTCGGTGGGCAAAAGTTCAGAGTTCAATGCCCAAGCGGTACGGCCGTGCAACGTTCTGGCTCACCGAGAAAGTCCGGTGA